TTACCAATTCTAATATCACAAAATAAAATAAAAATAGCCTATGTAAAAACAAACTTGTTGTTGTTCTAAACCTGTATGAGTTTCCTTCTGCTGTTGAATGCAAAAGTATATATTTGGAACAATACTGGTAACAGTTTCTGTGCCCCCATGACTTCCATATGAAAAAATAAAACACTACTGGAGTCAACAGGGACCAGAAAATTTCTGGTGGTTATGAATATTCTTCAAAATATCTTATTTTATTTTGAGGAGAACAAAGAAATTCATACAGGTTCAGAACAACTTGAAACTGAGTAAATGATGACAGTATTTAAATTTTTGGGTGAATATCCCTTTAAAATCTTATCATATAATGCCAGGATCTCATATAGCCAACTAGTGCACATGCATCTATTAACGTTCATTTAAGACACAAATGACTGTGTTGACGAGGAGACAGGCATTTTGCTTAATGTCCCTGAACAGTTAAATTAGTCTATAAACCACAATGCTTAAAATGCGTTTAAATGAAAAGCTTGCATCATGACGCGCAAAAGGAATTTCTCAACCCATAAGCGAATATACTAGGCCTATAGAGTTTGTTCAAGAAGAGAGGTGAATGCAGATATTAGACGCAGCAATTACCTGCTAGGAGATGCGTGCACAGGTCGTTCAAAAGTAAAATATAGAATGAATGCATTTGATTGGTAAACCAAATTCAAATGTGACGTTTTAATCTCTGATGATATGCATGTATGTCTCATAATGATGACCTTATTCGTGTCTCAGTGTGATGACAGGCAGATGTGGGCGCTGTTTCTTGTCATTGTTGCTGTTAACTTGAATAAGAGATGACACACACACACACACACACACACACAGACGTGCCCTGAGGAAAATCCATCCCTCATTTAATCTCACGTTTGGGTGGAGTGACTCAGCTGTATGAGAAATAGTCTTTGTGTGGAGAGTGTGTCATTGTGCATGACAGTGTGTGTGTGTGTGTGTGTGTGCTTACAGTTGTGCAAATCTAGCCTTGTGTTTTGCTCCTTGAGTGTAAGGTTTTGCTAATTGTTGGAAAAGTTTAATTTTAGTGTGTAAGCAATCGTAAAAAACTGTAATAAAGCCAGTTCAATGTAAAGTGTAAATGATTCAAACAGACATTCAGAAAGGATTGTGCAAAACCTGCTGTTTTAATTCTAGGGTGTTGTGTGTGGTTATCAGGCTGTTTCTGTGTATCTCATACGGCATTCTGGGCATTGCTATGTGGTTGCTTGGGATTGCCTGTGTTTTAGCACTTTATATGTTACTCCTCGTCTTTCATTTGTAAATGTAACATATGATGCTGTTCCACATTCATGATAGGAATCGAGGACAGGCGTTTCTTTCATTCTTCAGATACAGCAGTAGAGGAGTGTGAGCCGGTGTTGTACTCCTGCTCTGACTTTAATCTAATTCAGCACGTATTACTCAACGCCCTCAAGGAGATGCTTTTTCCTTCACTAAAACTGTGTTTCGCATGCTCACATACCACATACAGACCCATATACACAACACAGATGTCAGCAAGATCTTCTGTGAAATTCGCTTATGAGTCACTTATTAGGCTCCAACTAGGTTGTAAAACAGCATATATGTGCATGTGTGTGCAGAACATTACTGCTGGACTTACTGTAAATGTAGACTAGTACACACACACTCACACACATACACAGGTCTTAGTTTTCAGCTTTGTGGTAAGATAAGACGACTGAATAACGAAACACTCGCTGCTGTGGCACCGTGTATGAGAGAAAGGGAGAAAAATCCTTATTGTTGTACAAAAACAAACAGCAGTTAATTTTTCTTGTGTGTACCACAGAATGTAATGTGGCACAGAGCATATTTAGTGTGTGTTGCATATAATCCATGCATTTTTGCCTTTATTAGTAAATGCTGAATTGGCCATTTTAAAATGTTTTTGTAAACTGACCCTTTGTGTTTGTGTGTGTGTGTGTGTGTGTGTGTAAGAAGCCCCCTCTGCTCACCATGGCTCTGTTTATTTGATCAAAAATGCAGTAAAAAGAGAAAAAAATATTATTACAATTTCAAATAGCTGCTGTTGTAATATATTTTAAAATAATTTATATAATTTATTCCTGTGATGCAAAGCTGAATTTTCAGTAGCCATTACTCCAGAACGTTACGTCCTTAGAAATGATACAGTTTTCATGATAAATTTTTTCAGAATTCTTTGATGAATAGAAAATAGCAACATTTATTTTAAATATTAATCTTTTGTGACATGATAAATGTCTTTACTGTAACTTGTGATCTATTTAATGTATCGTTGTTTAATACATTTTTTTATTTATTTAAAAAATTACAAAATCGTTGACCCTAAATATAAACTAAAGGGTTACACTTTATTTTAAGGTGTCCTTGTTACAGTGTAATTACACATTTAAGTACTGGGTAATAATATGAATTAATTACATGTTAGGGTTAGGATTAGGGTTACTTGCATGTAATTATGCATAATTAATTGTTATTATAATAGTAAGTACATGTAACGTGTAACAAGGACACCTTAAAATAAAGTGTTACCAAACTAAATTATGACTTAAAAACCTGACTGTAATTATAATTAAATAGAATTGGAAATTGGCCATTTTAAAAATGAGGAACAATTATGAAATTATGCAAAATTGTCTCCTTTAATGACACTGAAAACTACTGAATGTTACTAATTCTCATAATACAACTAATCAGACTCCCTGCGTGTTTCAGAACCATGGACAGCGCATGAGCACAGTAAATTATGCTTCAGTACCATGGACAGCTCCGGCTCTCGCTTTTTCCCCACACTGCTGCTGGAATCTAATTCTAGAACTCCCAGAGACCGGAGAATTCCAAAGCTCTCGTGTTTCACTGAGAATTGTCTTGCCGTGGAAAACAGCCCAGAGAGATGCCCGAAATAAACCTGGCATGATGCCCAGTTGTCCATCAAATAAGCCTGGCCTGATGTCAGACAGAAGTGCATTGTGGGAGAGTCAGGGGAGGGAAGTAAGAGTGCTGATTTTACCATCCAGATCCATGATAAACAAACATCCCCCCGGAGTAAACTCTGACCTGTCTGCCAAGAGATGGTGGCACCTGTAATTCAGCTGATCACACTCACAGTGTAATAGCTGGTGTCTTTACGGCTATGTGAGCACTATGATGCACACTGAATGGTGATTTCCTTGGATTTAGGCTGCACTCATACAGGGTTGACCACCCTGTTTGGAACGATAAATGCGATTCTCTTTATTATTTTTCTGTTGTTTCCATACATCTTTAATATATTAGTGTTTGTCTACAATATAAGTATCGCTATAAAAACATGTTGAATTCTCTTTTATGCATTTATCCATGCATTCAAGGTTTGTATTGTATTCAGTACATGCATTCCCTGGGAATCAAACCCATGACCTTGGTGTTGCTATTTATAAAGGTCAAGAACATTTTGAGAGCAAGTTCAGCAGATGTGTGCTGTTTGAATGCATTGCAGTAGATATGAATTAAGTGCATGTATCACAGGTTATTCGCTGTTAAACACTAATGTTGTAGCTGTCAATCTCTCTGAGGTTCTGAGAAATGGCAGAAGTGCTGTCACAGAGCGAGACTAAACTCCTGTTAAATGTTTGAGGATGGAAGAAAAATAAATCCTTGAACTTGCACTTTTTACTATCGTAGTATACATTCCTGGCTTTATTGTGCACAATTCAGGAATATTTGGCCTTATAAGTCTTTTTCCTTTTTCTTTTTTTGAGTATACATACTGGACCTTAAAAAAGTCTAGTCTTTTCAATCTTTTATCAAAAATGTAATTGTTTGACTTTTGAAATGACCTTTCTTTCCTACTGATGTCACCCAGGCTGCACAGATTATTGGATATTCCCATAGCTGAAAAGCTTTTAAGGCATTATTTTAGAAAACTTGAATTCAGGTCTGACTCCTTACTTGTATGTGATGCCCATTTTTCCCCCAGATGATTTATTTGATTTTTTTATTTTATTTTATTTTATTTTAATCAAACATCCTGTTCTACTTGGCATTAGATGATAGATGTCATGGATTGCCATGTCATTTTGACTTTTAAGATCCAGTGCATCTTGAAATTTCCTAATACTGGTGATTACAGGCATTATTAATGAGTTAGAGCGGTAGTTCTCAACCTTTTTGACTCCAAGATGTCCCACTTTCCACAACAATATGTTCAAATGTAGACCAATAGGTTTCCTCTGGTACATCTCCAGTAATGACAAAGTTTTGTTTTCATTTTTTTTTTTTTTTAATTTACAGAAACTAGGAGTGTCCATAGATTAAAATAAGTAACTAATTAAAATAATTATATTTCTGGAACGGAATGTGCCTCAGGAATCCCACACTTGTTAACCAATGATTTAGCACATAAGGATTAAGGATAAGGATTTTACTTAAAATTTCTACCCTAAAAATATTTTAGAGCTTGGTAAAACTAAAAAAATAACAAAAAATAAAAAATCTTGATTTTCATTTGTTTTAACTTATTTTTAAAACGTATTTTAAATCATTGTATGCCATCTTGAGGCCTCCAGGTTACTACTGAGTTGGTTAACAATCCAAACAGATAGTATTGTATTCTACTAGAATACTAGCAGACTAGTAGGATCCAAACACTGACTGTGTGAGAGTCAATGGAAAGTAAATGGTTTGGCTGCAGAACTCAGGATTTACATAATTAATGAAGACGTTAATGGGCTTAAAGGACAGGAAACACTAAATACTAATGTGTTGAGTATAAATTATTTTAATCAGAGTTTTCTGTGTGTGTGTGTGTTCACACCACCTAATAAAATGTGTCTTTTGAAGGAAAAACACTTAACCGGAGTGCCAGGCTCTCAGATTCTCCTCTGTCCCATCAGTTAACCGGACTGAATTATTTAAACTCTAAACACGTGGGAGAAGGAGAGATGTTCATTATCTGTATTAATCTTCTGTCTCTCTTGTCTTTGCAGGCTAAGAAGCAGGATCTGCCGCGTGAGGAACAGGGTCCGTCCATCAAGAACCTGGACTTCTGGCCCAAACTGATCACGCTGATGGTGTCTATTATTGATGAGGACAGAATGGCCTACACACCCATCATTAACCAGTGCGTATCACACACACACACAAACGCACACACACACACACACACACACACACACTGTGAAGCCATCTGAATGTATCTATACTCTCTGTTGTTGTGTTTTTTTCCACAGAACAGGAAAACTGCAGACATATGTTAATAATATGTATATATATATATATATATATATACATTGCCATCAGTTGTTTCTCCTAGACAGCAATGATCTGAGTTTATCAGATGTTTCTTCAGTGACCTCAGAGGAATCTGCTTGAATAAAGAGCTCAGCAAAGATACCTTTGCAACTTAAACATCAACTTCCTCCATATGAACTTGACCATTTCTCATCAAATTCTTCCAAGATCAAATCATCTGACCATGTGAAGACTAAAGATGCAAAAAATATCAAAGTCCGTCTGAGATTTTTTTTCTTTTAAATTAGCATTTTTATCAGGTTTCTATGTTTAGGTTTAGTAATTTCACTTTAATGGCAAAGAAAAGATTATTAGTCAGTTATTGAATGCCTTATTTTCAAAAATATCCAATGATATTTTCATAGGAGCCTGATAAAAAGAAAAATCTCAAAAGGACTAAGAGGTTTTTGCATCTGAAGTCTTCATATTCATTTTAAAGCTGTGCACTCTAACTGATTGAATGTTTTTATTTTAAGGAGAAACATCTCAGGTGCTTCAATTAAACATAACTGAGAATTCTTTCTGAGAATCTTGAGAAATTAAAGAGCAACGTTTCAGCAATAAAAGCTTCCCTTTGTAAGACGGATGATTTTGGGATGTTCTGAACATGTCCGTAGATTGCAGCATTTCATAAGCACATTGCAATGAAATGCAATATGTGACGTGTGTGTGTGTGTGCGTGCGTGTGCATGTGCGTGTGTGTGTGTGTGTGTGTGCAAAAGAGATATCGATAGCTGTTTCTGCAACAGAAATTCGCAGGCAGGCATTAGTTGTGAATAATTCAGCATCCTGGACAAACCCAGAGAAGAATCGTCTTGCCCTCAATTTGTTCTCCTTTCGCTTCAAGCGTTTCTGTTTATTCAACTCTCTCTTATCTTTTATCTCACCTTTTGCAGAAGTCCCTCTTTGTGTGTGTGTGTGATGTTACTGGACTTACAGGGTCATTAGTTCTGGTATCAATTGAACACTGAAAAGGAAAACTAGATTTGCTTGGGAATCACACTGCTCTACAAAAGCAAAGCACAGTAACACTGCATCTGAGAGAAATGATTCTGTGTTTTGACCGAGTTTTAATTGATTTAAAGGGGTCATAGGATGCCTATTTTCCACAAGTTGATATGATTCTTTAGGGGCTTAATGAAAAGTCTGTAACATAGTTTGGTTAAAATTTCTCAATGGTAGTGTAAAAAACACCTTTTTTACCCTGTCAAAAACAGCTCTTTTCAGATCAAGCCGTTTCTGTAGCATTTTCCTTTAAATGTTAATGAGCTCTGCTGACCCCGCCCCTCTCTTCTGAGCTGCTTTTGCTTTAGCCGCATTCATTGTGAAACTTGCTAATTAGCACATTATTAGCAAAGTCGATTTGCAAAGATTCATTACAAAACATTATACTCACTTCTTCTGTAGATGAGGCTGGATCACCACTGGGTGGATTTTTATCATTATGTGATGTTTTATTAACAAATTTCGGGAGGTGCACGCGCAGATAATTAACACGGCCAGTTCATCATCAGTAATTACACCATCTATCCAATCAGCACAAGAGAGAACCTCTATAAATAATCAAAGCAGCCTTACCTCCATTATCTCTAGTCTTTCAGCATCCCTCCACCACCCCGACTCCTCACCTTCAGCCCGTTCCTACCCCAGCACGGGGAGGAACACTCGGGGGGGAGCGCTCTGGGTCCGGGGTTAGACCCGAGCTCGGACCCCTCTCCCCGGACAGGGGGAGTACCCCGGGCTCGAGAGTAATTACCGAGCTCGGAGCCCTCTCCCTGGACAGCACGCCAAATATGCATAACCTTTACTCTGTTCATTATATGTAAGTGTGAACTCGTGAAAGGGTGGTTGTGTACACACACTGCCAACACATTTCAGTTCAAACAACTTGTAAAAGTGCATGTAGCATCCTATGACCCCTTTAATGTCAGTTTTCACCCTTTGTTTTCACCTGAATCGGAGACAGTTGAGTCAAACGTGTCTGTCACGGGACGGATCACAGTCTAAGAAACTCTGTTTTGGCAAAAAGTATTGTTTCTGTGGTTTGTCTGTCTATAGCAGAGCAGTGTTTTAAGTGTAGGTTTTGCGATGAAATTGGGCATCAGAGTCATTTTGCTGCACATAAGAATCAACACATAATTCGAGATTATGTTGCAACAAAGAAAACCAATCACAGTTCATTATGAAAATATTACAATGACATCTTGTTTCGAGGGATGAACATTCTGTTAAGTCTGTGTGAGATTTTTGAATTTTAATCTTACATTTATTATGGTATAGCATTTATAAAATCCAAAATCAGATTGAGTTTTGTTTCATAGAAAATTAAGTATGAGTGTGTGGGTTCAGAGATTTGTGCTGAATTATTTTTTATTTGTTTGGAACAAACTCTGAGCAGAATATTGGAGGAATATCAGTACAGCGCTGCCACACAAACTCTGAAATGAAGTAAATAAGTCTTTCTTCCATTTCACTCACAGCATACGCATGAATGTGTGAATTACAGTAGTGCCTCAAAAGCTTACACTGATGTTGGTAAGATATTTAATGCTTTTGAAAGAAGCCACTTCTGCTCACCAAGGCTGCATTTATTTGATAAAAAATGCAGTAAAATTGTAAAATATTATTGCAATTTAAAAAAACTGCTTTCTGTTTGAATATCTGTTAAACTGTAATTTATTTCTGTGATGCGCAGCTGTATTTTCAGCATCATTACTCCAGTCTTCAGTGTCACATGATCTTCAGAAATCATTCTAATATGCTGATTTGCTGCTCAAGAAACATTTCTGATTATTATCAATGTTGAAAAGTGAAAACAGTTGTGCTGTCCCAATATTTTTGTGGAAATTATGATACATTTTATTTTTCAGGATACTTGAAAAATAAATGGAAACTTCAAAAGGACAGCATTTATTTTAAATTAAAATATTTTGTAACTTTATACATCTCTTTAATGTCATTTTTGATCAGTTTAATGCATCCTTGTTGAATAAAAATAAATCTTACTGACCCCAAACCTTTAAATGATAGTGCACTCTAAAAAATGCTGGGTTAAATACAACCCAGTGCTGGGTAAAATAGGAACAAACCCAGCAATTGGGCTGTTTGCTACTTTGTTTTGTCCCTATTTTACCCAGCACTGGGTTGTATTTAACCCAGCATTTTTTAGAGTGTGTATATTGAGTTCAGCGCCTGGAGATTTGATGATTTCTGATTTTTCATCCTCTATTTCCACACTTACAGCAGCTACAACTACTTAAAGTCAACATGACTCTTTTTGTATTTCCTTAATGCGTGTTCCTAGTCTTATTATGAACAATTCATCAGTGTGTGCTGTTATAACAAACAATGTTTGTCTTCAGAATCTTTCATAGTAAGAATAATGACATCCTCCGCCTTCTTCCTTCTATCAGATCAAATCAGTTTTGCACAATAAATCACTTCACAGAAGCAAACGTCTCGCGAACGACATTTCATGCTGAATTTAAGTCACTGCTGTACAGTATTATCTGAACATCATTTGCAAAAGGACAGCGTGGATGGTCAGTCCGAACGATTTGGAAACCAAATTGGATTTTTATGCTTTGTGAAAGTCTAAAATTACAGCACAGAGTCTGTCAGAGCAGAGTCACAGGGAGAAAAGCTCCCTAATGAAGCGCAGTAAATGACTCTGGTTAGGAACACGTCCTTCCATCACTATGAGAGAGAGAGTTCATGATCATCCTGTGTTCATCTGTGTCCGTCTCTGAGCTTCTTCTGTCGCTCCTAAAGCAATTAAAGCGGGTTGTGTCTGGTGTAGAGAGATCTGAGAACCGATCGCTTCACTCGCTGATACGGTACGGCAGCGGTTGCCATGGAAACAGCTGGTGCGGGGGGAATGTGCTCGTATGTGCAAAAGCACACGCGTGTAAAACGGGACGGGACCCTTGTACACCCCTCTCTTCTCTCTGTCATTGATGGTCTGTGTGTTTGCAGCAGACGGAGTTTCAGAGGTGGAGTGAAGACCAGACCTCTAGAACTGAAATTGCTGGATTTATTACGATAATCATTTCATTTTATTTATTATTTTTTATAAAAAAATGTATTATTCATTCATTCCTTCATTTCTTGTCTTTCGATTTCTTTCTTTCAATTTCTTTCTTTCTTTCTTTCGGAATGTATGAATAAAATAATTATAATAAAAAGTTATTAAAATTATATTAATATTATAATATTAATTTGTTAAAATATTTCAAGAAATAATTTTTTCTCTCTTTCTTTCTTTCTTTAGGAATGTATGAATAAAATAATTATAATAAAAAGTTATTAAAATATGTTTAATTTGTTAAAATATTTTAAGAAATTCTTTCTTTCTTTCTAGATTTATTTTAACAAAAATAATTCAAATAAAAAGTTATTAAAATATTTTTAACACATTTGTTATGCCATTCATTTCAATCATTTCTTTCTTTCTTTCTTTTGAGATGTATTTATTTTAATAAAATTATTCTAATAAAATTATTAAAATATATTTTAACAAATTTATTACGACATTCATTTCAAACATTTATTATTAATTCTTTCTTTTGTTCTTTCTTTTGTTCTTTCTTTCTTTCTTTCTTTCTATAGAAAATAAAATAATTAGAATATAAAGTCATTAAAATATGTATTTAACAAATCTATTGTGATTACTTCATTCCTTCAAACACATATTTAATATTCATTCTTTCATTTAATATTTATTTTAGTTATTTTTAAGATTTTTAATAAAAATGATTCTAATAAAAAGTCGTAAAAATATGTTTAACAAATTGATTAATATACAAAAATTATACAATTATTTATTTATTATGTATTATTGATAAATATTTATAAAAATAAATATATGTATTTTTTAAATAATTAATTCTAATTAGTTGCTGCATGTGATGTACACCACAGACAACAGGATCTTTATGTGGTTTGAAGATCGGGACTCTGATGGAGTGATGGGTGAATGAACTGCTGTATGGTTGTAATGACTTCTGTTTTTATTTAATTTCAGGTTCCCTCAAGAGCTGAATATGGGCAGAATCAGTGCTGAAATCATGTGGAACCTCTTTGCCATGGATATGAAGTACGCAATGGAGGGTGAGTTTCTCCTGCTCCGGTTTTTACTTTCTCTGTGGGCTTGCTGGCGTGATTTCTGTTCAGATCTGAGAGCAACACATGTCACACATCGATTGTTTCTGAGCAGAACAAAAATCACATCATATGTGATGCAGGTTTATGCTCGGATTCTTCTGTAGCCTCTTTTATGCTCTTCAAGGAGATATATTGTTCGGTAGCAGTTTGTTTTATTTTTACTCTTAAGTCTAACATAATATAATGTTGTACTGCACCAAAAACAGTACATGTAATGATATGTAAACTTGGGCAGTCATATGTTAATGAGCTGTGATGTCATAGTCATGCTTTTAGTTTCTATAAATGATCTGGCTGGACTGGAGAGGAAGCTGTGTGTTGAGTATGTCTGCAAACTGCATTATAATTGTACTAGAATATTTCTATTGCGTTGTTTGTGACGCTGACGGCAGCAGGACAGTGTGACATCAGTGTTTTATGGATAAATTTGGAACAAACTCTCTAGGATTCAGATTCACCTGCGAAATTTGATTCAACCACAGATGGTCCGCTGTCAAAGGCTGAGACACACACACACACACACTCAAACACACACACACACACACACACACACACTGCAGACCACAGCTTGTGCACAGTCACTCACACACACACACACAAACACACACACACACACACACACTCACACAAACACACACACACACACATCTGACATTAGAGCATTTAAAAGGCAATTCCCTCTGATTCAATCTCACATACATTGACTGATCTCAGTAAGGACGTGCCATAGACTTCAGTTATTTTTAAATAAAGCTAACACAAACCTTTAAACACAGCATTTTTCATTTTTAGTCTTTCTCGAAACCTATATATATGATGCGTTTTTTAAGGTTTTCATAATGCTTAATAACACATCCTGTAATCCTCTGTATCTTTTCATAAATCATTTAAATACACACTGTTAATTCATGAGCATGCTTTTAGAGACTGTAATACATTATAAAACAGTATGACACATGGAACTTGGTTTTGATCTTGTGCTGCATTATATTTTCTAAAAGTGTGAGCCTGAATAGTTGAGTCTTAAATTGTAATTCAGCGACTTTGTTTACAATAACCACATACCTGTACAAACGCAAATGATTGTAAGGTTAATTTGAATGCATTATAAATGCATTAAGATTGTATTTATGCAGTGTGTGTGTGTATACAGTATACACACACACACACACAAAAGAGAGAGAGAAACATTTTATTTATTTGATTAGATTATTTAATTTTTAATTGCAGTTGTACCAGTGTATGCAGTTTTAGTGTATGATTTTACATTGTATGTTTACTTTCCTTAAATAGAATCATTACATTCACTATTGTTAATGGTTATTTTGATGCTCCATTATTGTTTTTGTTTGTTTGTTTTTTGCATAGGCTACATAGATGTCTGATGTTTGTTTTTGAGTTTTTTCTCTTTTCTGAAGTAATTAACTTTTAATGAAGCAAGTGACTTTTTTTACACATGAAATACTCTCAATCTAAATCTCAAGCTGTTTCACACTGTTTGGTTACCAACATTCCTTAAAATATCTTCTTTTGTGTTCAACAGCTAAAATAAACTCATATAGGTTTGGAACAACAAACCTGTATGAGTTTCATTTTTGGGTGAACTGTCCCTTTAAGAAAGACAAAATAAACACTGATATTGAAAAAATGACAAAACTGTGCAACCTAAGGTTCAGATCTCACAGACTGAAGTGTCTGCACACACACACACACACACACACACACTTAAACACACCAGGGATGACCTGCAGCCGATGTCCTTCTGCTGTTTCTGTGGCATTTGAACATTTATATGTGCTTGTTGGAGGTGTGTGTGTGTGTGTGTGTGTGTGCCACAACCTTTGACAGCAGACCATCTATGGTTAGATTCACACACACACACACACACACACACACACACACACAGCATCTGTTTCACAGGTTACAGGGCCATCTTTAGGTTGCCATAGGAACCAGGTGTCAATCTATAGATTTCACACAAACACACACACACACACACACTTACCGCACACCTCTCAGCCTCTGCTGTCATTTCTTATTAATTCGGATTGACATGTTGCCATGAGATGTCACAGAAAAGAAAAGCTCAAACCTTTGTGCAGTTTAATTTTCTTTTCATCTGTGTTTTTCTGGAGGGCACGTTCAGAAATCTCTCTTCATTTGAATATAATCCTGATTAGTTTGTGTTGACACGTTGACGTTGATGTGAGGCAGAACGCATTCGCTTTAAGGCACCTAAACACACACACGTTACACACACACACACATTGATCTGTTGGTTTGAACTTGTATCTCTGCGTTTAGAAACCTGCTTTTTTGGATTTAGCGTTTGTGTTTTGACTCTGTGTTTGGATGTTTGTTTTTACTTTTACGTTGTCTGTGTTCGGGATCTGGAACAGTCTTATTGACTCTGTATTTAACACAGACGTGATTTCATACATCAGAAAATAGAGGAACTGCCGGATGAGAAGATGTGAACAATGTATGTATAGTACAGTAGACACTCGGATCAAACTCTGTTCTTCTTCAGTGTTGTGAATAGAAAAAAGCTTGACTTAACATGGATCTGCACTATAAAAGCACACATTCAGTGCTTTGTGTTCACAGCTGCTGTACTCAGATGCCTTATTGAGCGATAAACTTTACTACCTCACTTATGAGAGAGAGTCATAACCTCATAATCAGTTAACAGCAAAGCTTCACTGGTTCCACTGTAAACAAGTACAATATTGTCAAAGTATCAAGTGCAGAGCCAGTGGTGGTTTTGTAGGCAAACATTAATGCCTTGAATTTTATGTGAGCAGCTATTAAATATTAGCTATTACAGGTTTAGGGTGCGATTTGGGACGAGGCCTGTCATGCTAGTTCCCAGTGCATTAACTGATGTTAACAAATACAATGTTCCATTTTTCAAAGGAAATTAAAAGTACATTTTGAGATTAATCTTAATAAAAATATTGATACATACTTTCAAGTATTGTTCATTGTTAGTTCATGTTAACTAATGTAAACTACCTTGTTGTAAAGTGTTTTTTCTCTTAGATACAGACTAATATAATGCAATTACAATGTAATGTGTTATATAACTATTATATTTAGCATGTGTAGTCTGGTTCCTCTTGTTCTATTTAACATCCTAATGAGATTTTTATATTATATTAATATTAATAATATTATTAATTGTTAATAATGTTGACAGTTCACCCAAAAATGAAATGCAATAGAAGGTATTTTGAGAAAATTCTCAGTGTGCTTTTTTTTTTTATTTTTGAGTGAACTTTTTAGAGTACCCACTGTATATATACATACACATAATTACTTAAAAGTCTTATTTTTATTTAGTAATCCTTCATGTATCAATATATGTTGATATATTTACTATTAATTATTTATTTTTTATGATTTTTTATGAATTCTTTTTTTTTTCAGCCCATTTGTAGTTTGAGATTGCCATATCAAATTGATATTTTACAAATTTAAGGTTAAAAATATTCACTTATGTTCATTTTAATGTAAAAATTTAATCTGTATAATTGTATATAAGAAAAGGATAAATTTACTTACATTGTAAGTCTGTGTTTGCTTTTACAGTTTTATCATGCCGGGCTGAAATAGTGTGCGGTTTCAATGCTCTAACTCTATTTTAATATCTCCTTTACATGTTTATGTGTTTGGTGGTCTTTTTATTGTGGTTGTTATCAGTGGAAAAACTGATTTGTGGATTACAGCAAATCTGCTCTTGCACTCGGAGCCACCACCTTCCTGACCGGATGAGCTCCGGCGCTCCGAGATTAAAGACCAGGATCTCATGCATCGTGTCTGAGCGTCTCTCTGCAATGCATACACTGCATACATGATATACAGCTTGAATGCACATATTTAGCCCAGCATATTCAGAGTAAAATAATTTCACACAATGACGGTGTTTTACATATATTAGCATGATGATTTATTCATATCTAGTAAATAAGCATATGAAACGATTGCATACCAGCAATCCCTCTCTCTCTGTCAATCCCTCTTTATAAATCTCCCGCTATTTCTTTCTCTCATAGAGTGTGACATATTGTTCATTAATGTAAAAGACATCAGGCGAGCAGCTGTACGGCTCAGATTAGGAGTTAAAGTGTGAGGTTGCTTGTTAGAACAGGTCTCTAGAAATCACTTGGGTTTGTCCTTAAATGTATTCAGTAAGTCTGTGGGATTTTTCGAGTTGTTCATCATTTATCGTTATGGGTTTGTTAGTAGATTTTTGTGCATACTAATAGTGTACTCTATAATAAGCTGAATTTACATACAAAGAAAGAATGCATGTTTGTGATGAATGACAATGACCTTTTTTTCTTTTTGTTTTTTTTTTTGTGGAAAATTTAGCACCTGGTTAAAGTAGATTGCACTGCATTTCTTACAAAGCAACCTTATGTCAGATCAACCTAACAGTCTGCACCAAGCTGCGAGATGGGGAATTTCACCGTGCTAATTGTGTTGAGCACACATTTTGTGCCGTTACCTGATCTGCATAATGCCTTTAGTGTATCAGGTGCTAGAGCAAAGCAGAAGCACATGCAAATAATCTGAAGTGAATTCCTTCCTCGTTATTTCTGTTTGGTGCAGCCAGCTGTGCAGAAATGACACACTACACCTTTAAATGAATAGTTCACTAAAAAAATAAACAAATGAAATTTGTTGAAGATGAGATGAGTTTGTTTTGAGCATTGCATCACTGTCTCAGCAATGGATGCTCTGCAGTGAATGGGTGCCGTCAGAATAAGAGTCCAAACAGCTGATAAAAACATCACAATAATCCACAAGTAATCCACAGCACTCCAGTCCATCAGTTAATGTCTGGAGAAGACAAAAGCTGAAACAAATCCAGCATTAAGACGTTTTTAAATCAAATCTGAGTCCATAATTCATAATAACGCTTCCTCCAGTGAAAAATGGTC